GAATTGAAATAAGCAGATGGGTCTGCATCTGCAGGTAAACTTTCTCACCCAGCGCTGCCTTTTGACACAAGACCTGATCTTGATCTCCATGCCGAAATTTAGCATACCCTTCAAAGTATTTTTACCAGCTATATGAGTAAATGAGTACATCAAATTTGAGGTAGTCAATTTTGCAACCTAGCTTCATGGTTAATGTAAAGTATATATATGTGTAAAATATGCAGAATGTATCAATGCCATGAAGTAGACAGAGCAGACTGCACCACTTCACTTGCATTCGCATATACATATATATGTATGAAATTTGTATTTCTATTTGAACTGTTCAAATTGAGCATGTGCTTTTTTTACAAATTTCTAATTGATAAGTAAGTCCTTATTATATATAAAATACGAAAACAGAGAGTAAAAGTGCATGAATGTTTTATGTTTGTTTGAGAATTTTTTTAAACTTTCCCACCCAAGGCTTGACGCCCTCTATAAGCGATGTCAACAGCTGCACATGCGCAGTGCATGAGTACTCGTAGCTACAATACGGATTATTCCTATTAATTGATTTATTAATTAAATAAGGTTGTGCAGATAGACATTTTGATTGTGCAATTAAGTTCGGATAATGTGCAGTTTATTAAAACTGTGTGCAGTTGCAAATATGCCTTTGTTGCCGATATATCACTATCCAACTGCGTCCTGCAAATCGCAAATATTTTTTTATTTTTTTATGCAAAATTGAGGCATGTGCAGATCCAATTATTTGCATAAATGAAATGTGCAGATAAAAACACGTCGCCTAGTATTTTTTTTTTTTTGCATAAATCGATAATTTGCGTGCTAGCTTCCAGGTGGTGTCACAAAGTCGGAAGAGCTAAAGCTAAAGCTCGTGACTCGTAAGATGAAGTGTATGAAGTTCATGGATGAAAAGAATAACCTTTTGCTGGAAGATGAAGAACTCGAAACTATTGAGGTCTTATGCAGTTGGTGAGAGGTCCAAGACCATCCCCTGCGTCTATGACTGCGTTACTCTTGCCAGTAACGACGAACATGGGAGGCACTTGGTTGCCACCAAAGACATAGATCCACCAAAGATATATATAACCATGCAAATCTTGTGCAGTAGTAATTTACTGCTCGGAAAAATGTAGAGATGAGCTTGGTTAAAGTATCATGATATTGAGTGTGTCGCTCTCCCTTATCTAAAGCATGAAGATTTTGCATTGCAAAATTTATTAAATTAACGCTGTGTCTATTCGCACCAAATGCACGTAATTACGTGGATATAAGGTTAGGAATTTTGAAGAAAAACGCTACCTTTTCAAATGAAGTATGTCAACGTAAAGTGAAGTTCGCACACGTGATAATACGTAGATATATAGAGATCGTCTATAAGAGAGGAAAAGGTGTTTCGTCCCGAGAGCACACCAGAATTCATCAGTAAGGCTGATGACGTGCTCCCTGCCTGTGACACAGAAGAAGTGTGGGCTTGTACTATCTCGATCGCGCTTATATAATCGTGCGGGAATTTCGCCGCTTGACGGGAACGAACTATCAGGGGCTTGGCCACCTGGCGAGTAGAGCCTGAAGCGCGAGAGATGTGAGACGCCACAGATAAATACATATTTATTTATGTATCAGACAAGTAAAAATAAAAATTGTGCTTTCATNAACAAATATTTCATGTACGAATATTCGATCATCTTGTGTTTGGACGTGAAAAAATATAGTTTTTGTTTAAAACATGTTTATACTTTTTTTTGAATGTAAATAATGTTGACACATCAATTTAAAATCTGTTTTTTTTTGATTCCACTAAAAAAAAAAAAAAATATATCTTAATCGTTTTAAATATTCGCTTTGACACATACATTGACCATCGACACATTTGTACAATCAGACAAGTAAAAATAAAAATTGTGCTTTCATACACACACACATGTTCTCTTATAGGCACGCATAAGCTTACGGACACGTAATCTTCAAAAGACGTCAGGTTACAGATAAGTTGCTTAAGCTGTAAGCTTACGTGCAAATTAAAGCGAATTAGATGTTTTTAGTTTTTACGTGCCCGTAAGTATACGTACCTGTAAACTTACGTTCAAATTGTCGTGCAACTCAGGACCGAGTAGCAAAAATGATGATTTGACGTTAATTAATTACATTAGAAGCACTACAGACCTATTAGCAAATAATACAAACATTTTTAATTTTTTTTTTGAAAAGTTTGGATTGATATAAATTTTAATTGAATGATATTTATTATACAGTTTCAAGGAACGAATTGTGCTTGTGAATATTTGGACGACTGCAATCAGGTTTGTGGAGAATTGGATGTCGGATTAATTCTTCTACCATTTTGTAGCCTTTTAAACCACAGTTGCAATTTTAATACAAATCAATTGTGCATCAAAAATCAAATGTTTATCTATACTTTACTTCCCATAAAAAAAGGAGAACAGGTAATTTGTAATGAAACATTTTAGTTTACTTTTTATGGATGAAAAACTACATCGATTCCCTACTCATGTAACATATTCGTTTGTAAACGTAAAAATTGCAGCTATTCTTAAGTTACTCTCCATCTGTGATTATGGAAAAAGTAGATAGACAAAATTGGATTAAAAAACGACACAACTTCACATGTAATTGCACTGCGTGCAGAGAAAACTGGTCACCCAACATACGTTCAGATTTTGTAAGATACTTAATTGTGAATTCTTTTTCCAAATTGAAAAACCTTTTAAAATGTATTTCGTATCCAGTAACCATTTTTAATTATTTAAAAGTTTTAATTAACTATTTTAATTGTAGGAAGCAGATTATGTGACACAGGCACAATTGTTATTGGCATATCAAAAAATTGAAAAAATTAAGTTGACTGAATCACTGTTTTTTGGATTTGGAGAATCAAAAGAGCTGATTTTTTCTAGTAAATTTGCTAGAAATAATGTTATTAAAATGATTAAGATCGTTCATAAGACTTGGACAGGTTACAAAGCTTACATGCACAATTTTTACCACATGTTTTATATCTCAAAATATTTTGAAAAGCTTTTTGGGGCAAAGATTTTTGATTTCTCTAACGATTGTTCATAAACTTTTTTTCATTATAATCGTACAGAGCATGATTTTGAAATGTATAGTTTACAAAACATGCTGATAATGAGCATGTAATTTCTAATAATTAGAATTTACGTATACTTACATATTTGCATATCTTACAATTTTTGATAATAGAGAAAATATATGTATAAAAAAAAATCTTATATAATTATCTGAACTTTCAAGTTTAAGAGTAAGTTGTTTATCGAGTAAGCTACAATTTTATTGTAAAGCACGTAAATTTTTTTTTTTTTTTTTTTTTTAACCCGTGTGTTGTAAACAAAGAAGAAAAAGTTATATTTAAGAAAAAAAATTTTTACTTCTGACAAGTACTTGTTGGACCCATTAGTTTAAATTAATGTTCAAATCGACCAACCAATCGGTTACTGTACTTACCCGCCTTTTTATGTAATTTAAAACAGTTAATATAAAAAATCCTACACAATAATTGGTTTTTAATACAATCTTTGCACTCACACTTGTAAGCCCGTTCCCGGCTCATAACGTAAATTCTTCGACGTTATGTACATTTTGTCGCACAAAGTTTCGCTATACTACTGTTTATTCGTACAATAACGGCCGTATTGCGAAAAATAAATGACTCGTCTAAGTCACCAGCAAGTGACGCAATTCACTTTCGAAACTCCCGCCCAAGCCGGCAAGGTGTGTATAGGCGCAGCAAAGAGTATTATGTTGACGCTGTCAGCATTTGGAATGATTGGGATTCCTCCGATTCTGTTGATACACACTGCGCACTTCCATTAATGATATAGACCCTCAATGTCACTTGTCTTATCCATTGAAGGCACTAGTTGAAAAATTGGTTTATCTTACTTATTACGGGGTAGTCAATTTTTTTCGGAAAAACGACGATAAGCTGAAAAATTACGAGACACTACAAGGTCCCGATGAAGTTGATTGTCAATAGGCTAGCCGATAATGCCCCAGAAAACCCGCAAAATTTTTAAGTCAAGTGCCATCAGAATAACTGGTCAGTATTCTTTGATGTTTTTTCTATTGAATTGTATTTATTGTTTTTATTCTTTACAGATATTTTAACCAGAAAATTAACTCACCAAGCAAATCTCCACCATTTATTTGTTTGCAACAGATGAACGTTTTTGTTCAAGACCAGTTAGTCGAAAATTAGACTCTGAAGTGCGTAAATGCATGGAGAGAAGATGCAAAAGTGCAGACTAAAAACATATTTTTCATTGGAGCATCACAGATATTTTCATGTTCATGAAACAAACTGGAAAATTCACGGGTAGTGGAAAAGAACAACCAAAACAAGTAAATTCGATAAATTTTTCTCGGTGAAAGAAGGATAAGTTAAACTTTTGTCATAAATAAAACGAATGTTCTGGTTGAAAAAAAAACAAATCGTTTACTTTCTAAATTTGTTTTATTGATCTTGTTGCATACACATTTCAACGAAAACTATTGACGATGCCGTAAATTTTACTCTTATTTTTCCGGTTAAAGCAGCTTAATAGTTCGCATACCAACAATAATTGTACTCAACAATGTTCGTTTTATTTTTGATTTTAACATCACTTTTCGTCAAACTTAACAACGTGAACAATTTTTATTTTCCTTCCATCCTTTAAGTACCTTATCGCTTGACTCGATGGACTCCGCATACACATATACGTAGTACAATTCGTGGTTTTTATAGAATTTTTATACAAAATTACACAGCCAACCCTCAAGTCTATATGGCGCTTAACGGCACGCACGACTCTTCGAAGCAATGGAATATGTGTTTATATTTACGTAAGTGAGTAAATGCGTGCAGCATCAGCGCTTCTTGCTGTGTTGTGTGCTAAATCGAAGCTAAAAAATTTCTTGATAAACAAATACTGACAGCTGCCATCAAGTGACATTTATTTGGTGAATTATTTTTTATACGTTAATTCAACTATTGGTTACACATGTCACGAAATCGATACATATTTTCCAGGGATTCCGTGGCTCAGTTCTCTGGGGGTTGGTTTTTCTTCAGTCTAACTTGCATCCTTAATTTTTTTTTTTTTTAATATAGTTTCCTTTTATCTTTTATTCTTTCAAAATTACCCATCTAACAATACGCACGAAAAATCAAGCCAATAAACATTTTTTTTCCACTGTTTACTCTTGAGTGGCTGAAGAAAACAAATATTTCATGTACGAATATTCGATCATCTTGTGTTTGGACGTGAAAAAATATAGTTTTTGTTTAAAACATGTTTATACTTTTTTTTGAATGTAAATAATGTTGACACATCAATTTAAAATCTGTTTTTTTTTGATTCCACTAAAAAAAAAAAAAATATATCTTAATCGTTTTAAATATTCGCTTTGACACATACATTGACCATCGACACATTTGTACAAACATTGAAAAGCATTTGCGTCTCAATTATAACAATTACTAAAAATTTGTGACATGGTGTTGAAAGAAAAAACAGTTGTCACTTTCACAACGCCAGGCTTCGAAGGTATAATTTGTAACAGGTATATAGCGAGTTTTCTCCTTATCATCGATTTATATTTTTTTCGCGAGGCTATGAGTGTACGCGAGAGATAGTTGTTTTATGACAAAATTGTGATCTCCGACTGGATGTTCGCTCGGGCTTGGTCTTCGAATCTTTCGCGGAACTCCTTCGTTGCAAAAATATTGGGTATGGTCAGGAAATTCTGTAACACCTGTTGAATAAGCAATTTACACTCGTTAATGTTTATTATTTTTCAGATAAAAAAAAACACTCATCAAAATATATAAATAAAAATATGTTAACATTTATGTTGTATTATTGTAGCAAAAAGTATAATTTTGTCATTTTTTTTATACGTAACGAATATTTTTTTGCAAATAATTAATGTTTATGATCTAATTTTTCAACCGTTTGAATATTAGTATAATTCATAATACTTAAATGTGTATAAAAATAGTCATTTTATTTTCCATTGTAAAACTATTTCAAAGGAGGATAAGAAGAAATTGCATTTGTTGGTGTAGATATCATTTTTTCCAACCTTTTGTATGGATCCTGTTTATAGCATAATGATTTGACAGAGAAAGAAAATTTTTTTTTAATTTATTTTAAATTTTCGTTGAGTTTTAGAAAATAAAAGACAAACAACATTTTTTGCTAATCCACAATCGTTAAAAATTATGCTATACAATGTCAACTTATTTTTTACTCATTTGTTCTATTTACACGGTAATGATAAAATTCTGGACGAAAACGTGTGATCCATAAAAATCATGTTTCAACGAAATGTACAATTTTGTTATTATAAAACCTGTATAGTTATAGCATTAAAAATGATTTTTTCCATTTATTTACAGTTTCCTTGAATTTTTAAAGCATAAGTATGGTTAAATATATTAAAAATCTACATTTTCAAAGGTGGTAAAATGTTTTAATACTCGTTTGAGATTTATAGTTTACACTTTTCTTACCAATACACGTGAAAAACTGGATTTCTTCTTATAGCTATATGCTATTATTTATTTTTCATTATTTTTTACTAGTATATATTGAATTAAAAATTTTTTTTATCCCAATAATATATAAAACTTAGGTGTGGTTACATTATTTGATCCAATAATACACTGAGAGAAAAAAATAATAAAAATT